GACGGGAAGCTCCAGAACTTCTGACAAGCATCCACGAAATACGAGGGTTTTGGGCCGATCTCCGGTAGAATCTCCCGACCGCTGGCTTCTGAGACCATGGACTGGGGCACCCGGCTGGGAGGTTCCGGCTTGCCTGGGTCTCCGCTTGCTGCGCCAGCTGCTGGCTCTTCGACACGCGGGTGGCCTCACGCGGCCGGCGTCTGCCCTCCCCGCGAACGTCGCGCGGGATGCTGGTCCGTCAAGGCCCATGCCGAAGAGGACTTTGAGACTGCAAACAATTTTGGGTCGACTTGCCCTTAAGTGGCGCTTTGGACCGGAACGCGAACGGTGCTTGTCCCCAAGTCATTGCTGCAGCTGACCTGGGATTGGAAATCGACAAGGAGTATGGGGCCTCTTCCAGTCGTGTTTGTGCTTCATTTGCTGGCATGCGTTTCTCACGCCAAACCATCCAAATCCAAACCAAACCAAAGTACCCATTGGGATATATGTATATATATATATACAGATGGTAACATCACGGTTCGAATGTCGCCACCCCACCCCAAGCCGCTGACCACCCGCCTCCTCCTGCTTCCTGGCGAGTGCCTGCAGCGGGTCGCAGGCCGCCAGCACCTGTCCGGAGGGTTCCGTGTGTTGAGCTTCGCTTTTGCCAATTCGACAAAACCCGGTATTAAAATGGTCTACCCAGAACCATGTAAAGAATTAAGAAGGCGGCCGCAACTATTTCCGGCTGGGACTTCATCTACCAGGGTTTTGATTGTGGCTCATGCGGGGAACCCCCGAAATGGTTTCCTAGTGGTTTGCTGTTGAACCAAGCTTTGGTCTTTTTGCCCGGCCTTTTTGGGAAAGCAGGGAAGGGTGAGGCCATGCGGTTTCCACCGTGGGCTTCCGGTGCTAGTTTCATTTTGTGACGAGATTGCCCGCTTTTGCTTCACGGGGTGGTTTTGGCGTCGGATGAGCCCAAATAGACAACTCGAAGGCCACATACTTTGTGGCGAAAAATATTTTTCAAAACCAGCGTCATTCCAAATGACTGGCTCCTTCCTTTTACTGCCCGCAAAGGGTCCTCCAGCTTGTTTCAAGATTTTTGGGGGAACACAAAGTGGAGATGCAGCGCATGATGCAGCATATCCCGGCTGCATTTGTTCGAGACCATCTTGGCATCACGCAAGCTGCGATGCATTCTCTTTTCTCAACTCCCGCAGGGGTTCGGGGAAGTCCTCCCAGAGTTGCGACTATAGCAGGCAACCAGATTCATTGGACCCTCCATGACATCCGCCGGAGGGTTCTGCTTCCACAAGCTTCGCTAACTCAGCTTCTATCAGTTCTGGTTGTTGCCTGCTTCAACAGATGGCCTGCGAACATCACAAAGAAACTTACTTGACCAAAATGGTGCCTAACACAAGCGTGGGACATCTAGGGAGCCCCCACTGCTATAGCAGTGAGTTTCAACTTCAAGGTCCTGGTGGCCGAATGGGTGGATGAGACCATGACTCACAGGAAGACGCACTGCGCAAGAATGTCAACGTTGCAAAACTCGGTTGCTCTGCTCCCCTGCCAAAAGCTTAACTTTTAGTGGTTTAGTTGGCAACAAGTTCAAGTCCGAACATCCCTTGGCAAAATACGCCGGAGAAAAATAAGTCTCCTCAGATCCCTCTCTCGTTACCAACCATCAACGCACTACTCCCCTTCCCGGGAAAATTCCCGTGAGTCCCGGGATTGGAACTCGCCCCCATGGCTCGTGTTTCCTTAGCTCCCGTCCGTCCGGCGGACTCGGTCCGTGCGCCTTGATCACCGCGCTTTTGGTGGTGCCGATGGCGGACTCCGCCTGTGCCTCGATTGCTTGGGTCGCCGGTGAGCGCGGACTCCGCAAACTCCGCAAACTACCCTGGGCTGCCCTCAGATCCCCGGCTAAAAGCTTAACTTTTAGTGGGTTAAATGGAAACACCGCTAAACACAAAAAGGCTAAAAAGCAAAGGGGATGGCTGGGAGCCACCAAGTACCATAACCCACAAATTGGAAATAAGGAACCTCCAAGCAAGGAACGTTCATCATAGGCTGAGCTCGTTGTAATTATTTCGCCCACGTCCTCTTCCTGAGGCAGCCTTTTGACCGCTAAGCAGAAAGGGTCCTGAAAGCTTCCTTGAGGCCCGGTGCGCTACCTTCAGCTTTAAGATTCTTCTTTCCGCATTCAAGAGGCTCATCCTTTTCTTGATTCCCGTGGAAATGCATACAGTTGGAGAGGAAGCCCTATGAAGCGCCGGGCCAGGATCTGGTCCCCGATGGAGGCCGCTTCGTTGAACAGCTCGTTCGACAGCTGCTGCATCCTGCTGCGGACCAAATCCACGTGCGCCCAAGGGCAATGGTTGGCCCGGAGTACTCAAAAAACAACCTCCCTGCCCAAGTGTGCGGGGCTTTGTACATTTTGGGAAGGCATTTGGATGGCAAACCAACCAACCCACCAAGCCACTGGGAATCTCGCACTTTTTTTTACTTTTTTTGCTACCACCGTTGTAAGGCTGTCGGCTATATACCATTAAAGTACATCCCTCAGGGGTAAGTGCTTTTGTTTTGGAGGCATCTCGTGCAAGGGGGGTGACATATTCTAAGGCCCGGGGCCAAGCAATTCTTCCTCCCTGGGGAGTCAGAAAGAAGAGACGCCATAGGTGGAACCTCTGCGGATCCTTACTAAACGGGCCCAAATAATTGGAATGGGTTTGTTGAAAAAGTAAGGCATGACCGAAGCGCCAACCTGTATAACGCATTTGTTGGGTCCGCTCGATCCAAGCATGGCAGGCAGACCAAACCTGCTGCTGCTGCACCTGTGCACATGGGCGCCCACTGAGAGGTGGAACGCCTACCGCTTAAATGGTCTTCCGACAGATGAAGTCCACAAGCTGGGAAAGTAACCCAACCAAGCATTGAGAGCATTTTGGGCACACACCACACGTTGGATCCCCCTCCCCCCCCAATGTGTTTCCTCGGAATGACATGTGCTTGAGTCAGGATCCAGACAACCATTTCTTCATGACCAACAATTGGCTGACAGGGCGCCAGTCGGTGTCCCCAGATCTGTTGAGCGAGCCAGCTGGCGTCTTGTTCTCCACCATACCTTGCTTGACCTTCCTCGCTCTTGGCATCTCCTAAGCTAACTTCAGCAAACCAAAAAGTTGCGTGCCCCCATACCAGGTAGCACGTTTATGGCCGCCAATGTTCCCTGTCTGGAATGTCTGGAAGTGAAGCAACCATGGCTGCTGGGTGGTTGAGGAATGCGATTTTGTTACATGCCAGAACAAACAAGAGCCTCAGCAACCTCCACTTAAAGATGCTCCCAAATGCCACTTTCCCTGTATGCTGGACATGGTGCTTGTTCAAACTAGGAACTGGCATAGACATGTTTACTTCCGTCCCAAGCAAGAGAACATCTATTTTTCCACCAAACTGAGCCAAAAAGGACACGTATCCTTCTTAAAGACTCTCCAGGCCTGAAACCCACCCTCGCTGGGTGTAGCTGCTCTGGATCTCTGCTGGTAATCCTGGCAGGGGATGGGGTAGATCGCTTCACGCCATGATACGCCATGCTTCCTTTCACCGCTGAACGCCAATAACGCCAATGACGCTTGATGCGCGCCGCACCTAAAATGCAAAGCCACTGGCAGTGAGGAACCAACAGGGATTTGGCAATGAAGCACTGGATCCCCTTAACTACAAGGGGATGGCTCATGAGGTTGATTCTCTCGTCCCCTGTTGAAAATCAGCAAGAAAAAGGCAGACTTTGCTGAACATTCAGCAGCTTCTTCTGGGGCCACTTTGAAAACCGGCGCGCCACACAGAAACAAGAAGTTGATGGGTGGCCAACCGAAAGCAAACTCCTCAAAAACACAAACCAAACAAACGCAATACTGAATTCGAAGTCCAAGACATCCAAACTTCCCCACCCCGCAGCATTTCCAAAAACACAGGTTGATTGCCAACATCCACTTACGCCAAACCGAACCGAAGCAGAAAGTTCACATCCCCTTCATTCTTTTCCCCACGAATAGGCGGCACACAGCGGCACCAAGAGCTGGAAGCCCCTCCTGGGACTGGGTCGCCTTCTCCAGCACCAGCTCAGCCTGCGAGGGGCTTGGGGGAGATCACCAAGGCCCAACTGCCGAATTTTGCGGCCCAAACCCCTCAAACCCCCCCGCAATCCCCAAGCCCCAAAAACCCCACTCAACTCCCCTAAAACCCACCCCAAAGCAAGTCGAACCTCCGTTTTGCTTCTGGAGCCCTCGCGGATCGGCCGAACTCCCGAGCACCATTGAGGTCAAATCGGCATGCCCCCCCCCCTGCCAAGGAAACCTCTTTTAAGGAAACCAGGGCACCACTGAATGTGTGGGTCTTGGTTTAAGTTCCTTTTTGGTAGGGTCTCGATTTGTTGAAAAGCAATGGCCGAAGTTCGCTTCAAGCACTGCAGTGCCAAGACAAACCAAGATGCAAATCCCAGGCAATCACCAAGGGGCATCCAAATCTACACGGTGATTTCTCACATTAGCACGGTCACTGAAGCCTCCATCAACCCCTTGACTAACACAGCGCCTCTTTCATCAACGGGCTTGCTTCCCCAAAGCCACGTTGCTTGCATCGAGACACACCTGAACCATTGAATAACGGACAATGGCTTGCTCGCAACTGGGAGCAATTGGTGGCATCCTGCGCCGCCCGATTTCGTCATACGTGGGCCGCTCCGTGCTTCCAACCACAAAAAATATACTTTGTATGTCATTCTTTCAACCGCCCAACCACCACAAAATCTCCCCAAACCCCGAACCCAAGCCCCGCGCTCGGAAGCTCTTGTCTTCTTTCTCTGCGTCGCATTCCAGGCATGGGCTCGCCCAAAGCGAAACTGAGCGATGGTCTCAAAAGCTGAGTGTCTTGCTCGAGATGTTGACCAAATGGGAATGGCTTGGGAGTTGCAGGTTTGATGCTTCGGAGTGAAAGGCCCATGGCACTGGCAGCTACTTCTTGCGATCCTTCTTCTCCTTTTTGTCCTGGGGCATGAAACCCCCGGAAGTTACCTCGAACTGCGATACTTCACACACCGGATCAAGGTGGTTTCAGGCGGGCCACAAAAGGGAGGCCAGGTTTCATGAGCTTGGAGTCACCAAATGTAAGTCGCCGTGATTGCACGAGGGGCACAGTTCGTCACAGAAACTCCGGCCGAACCAGCGCGCAAGAAGGTAAGAAGTTCCACCTACGCTGAAACAAGAACCTCGTGTAAGTACAAAACGTGCAGAATGAATGCAAAAGAACCTCATGTGACTCATGGGTAGGTACAAAACCAGTAGAATGAATGAAACCCGTCCTTCTTCTGCTCTTCCTTCTCAACTGGCTCAGGCTCCTGAGCCCTTGGCAGGGAATAAAACAGCCGCAACTTCCCAGCCCCACCCAAAGCTAAGCCAAAGCACCTCACCCTTCAAAATCAGAAAGCACATAAGGGAGGAAGCACATGGCACGACTTATAGCCATTATGTGTCATTGGTATTCTCCCAACTCTACGGAGCTTGCACCTTGAAAGTGGGCCGACTCTCTCTTCAAACAAGGGGTGGGCTGTCGAAGTTGTGGCACTCCCATCCCGAAACAAAGCCAAGAAGTTCTGAGGATCCGACTGGGAGAGTGTCAGGTTCCAAAGCTCGGGGCCGGAAAGGGAGCCAGAAAAAGAAAAAGAAAACAAACTTCCATGTCTGCTCTCCCATTTTGGGCTGGCAGTATGGGGCAAGAGCCGACTCGATTGGGAAGCCAGGGTGGGTAAACCCCGTCCCAGGTTTCGGGGGGGGGGGGTCTCCTTCATGTTTCGCGCAAGCCCCATTTCAATCCGTCAGGCTTATTGATCCGGGATCGGCAAAAAGAGAAGCGACATGTGCAGGTAAGTCGCTTCTCTGTCTTCGGCTCGGCCTCATCATCTGTGACCTTCAAAGTGGGACTGCGTCAGAACAAATGCTTTTTGGGAGGGATGGTCCCAGCATGGCGCAATGTTGCGGAGCCCTCAACTGGGGAATTCTTCACCCACTCTCTGGATCTGCTTAAGATGCTCTTTCAGATTCTCCAGCCAGGCTTTGCCGAAAACAGTTGAACAGAGGGTCGATCTGTCTATCATCTGTCTATCTTTATTCCTCTCTTTTGCTCTTTTTCTTGCTCACTGGTATCCAACAAAAGCGCTGAACTTCCCTTGAACCTGAACGGGTCCAGCCCCAACCCGCAAAGCCCAAGCTGGACCTTGAGGCTGGACTCACTGCCTAAGCCGTGAGCGCCAACTGACAGCCATGGGAGGGGCTGAGTCAGGGCTGAGCGACATGTGTGCCTACAAGCCCATGGCACCACAAATATTAGACCGGAACGCACAGCTTTTGAAACTGGAAGGCCGTTTTGTTTGGGCTACCTAGGACTTGCAAGCTCCATGGCCCATGGCCCATACCCCACATGGGCAAGTTGGTCTTGCCTGGTTGGGGTCGGCCTCCTCCGGCGTGACCTCAGGCCAGAAATGATTTGCGGAAACAGGGAATCACCCCTGTAAGCTATCCCCTGCGGTTTCCTTCAAGATCCATCGGCTCATTCCCAAAACATCTGTGGAAACAACTGCCACAGTTCAATGGTTGGGCTCACGATGCTTTCGCTCTGCTGACCCCCAATTGCCCAGTGGCCCTTGTACAAAATAGACTCTCTTTTTTGGCCGAACGCATGTGGGTGTGGTGCTGTTGGGGATATCGCCTGAGCTTATTTTGGCCAATCCACTCGAAAAGTGAGCGAGAGACCGGCAAAGGCGGACTTTTACCACGAAGCGAGCAAACAAAGGAGGGTTCCGTGCACCAGCCAGGCAGAGTTTGGAGCTTAGATGAGCTTAGGCCCAGTTGTCCCAGTTATGTACTTCCTTGGAGATCCCCAGAGAAATAAAGTTTATACAGTTGGGAGACGACCCTGTTAGTGGCAATACTGAAGAGAGTTGAGTAATGTTTGCCTATCCGAAAGGGGTTGCCTACACCCAGTTGCTCTTGCCGCGAGGAGCCGAATTGTCAATCCCGGGTGCTTTTGTTTTGGGCCCCCCGGCCGCTCCATCCGCCTCCTCCGGGGTGGCGGCCCCCGTGGCGGCGGCCGCCTCCTCCTCCACCAATGAGGCGTCCCCGCCGTACCTGGCCATTCGAATGGCCAGGTGGGGGGGGGGGGAGGGGGGGTCTGCAGAAGAGGCGGTTTGTTGGCGTTCTTGGGGGGAAGAGGCGGTGTTCGGGGGGCCTGAAGCAGAAACCAGCTAAGAAAAATTGCGGGCAAGGCCGGCTGCCAAAAATTGCAAAAATGCGACTACAAAAGTCCGGGTGACCGCAGATCGATCAAAATGTGCGTTTCTCAAAGGACAGTTGACTAGGGAATCGACGAGTTCAAGTCGGCTGCCAAAAACTGTCGACTACAAAAGTACGGATGGATGACCGCAGATCGACCAAAAAGGGCGCTTCTTAATAGACAATTTACTAGGCAATCGACGAGTTCGAGTCGGCTGCCAAACATTCCCAAATGTGATTACAAAGCGTTTCTCAATAAACAGTTCAGTAGGAAATCGACGAGCTCAAGTCGACTCCCAAAAAATGCACAAAGGAACGGAACGCAAAGAACCCCTTGGAGTGCTGAACTCCTTGGAGCGCTGCCTCTTTTCTGTTTGGGGTGCCGGGGGGTGCCCGTAGTGCAGTCCAGTGATCCTGAGCCCGGATCTGAGCCATGGGTATGGCTCCCCTCCTATGGCTCTGAATCCGTAGTGCTAGGGCGGGGTTGGGGTTTGCAGCTGGACCAAACCCTAGGCCTAAGGAGTTGCGCCTTGAGTCCCTGGGCGGGGGGCGGGGGGGTTGGGGGGGGTTGGGGGGGGGGTTGGGGGGGGTTGGGGAAGGTTCGTCAGGGATTCCCTCATGGTGGCTTGGGATGGTTTTGGAAGTTGGATGTCCCCAATCAGCATTCTCAAGAAGCCCAGCGGGGGTTCAGATCCCCAAACCACAAATTCAAAGCCCGAGACTGGGGACTAGCGACCTCCCGGACAAGAGCTCAGGATGTCCAACACATCTCTGGGTGAAAATTGCCAAAGGACCATCCTTAAAAAGGCTCTCAGAAAGGGTGCAAATTCCCAAGACTGCCAAGAGAACAAGGAGGGCGCCTAGTCAACCAGCCGAATGTAAGAGGATATCCCTTACTGATGAAACATATGAGGGGGGTGATACCTTCCTGGCTCCACAAGCAAACCTGGCCCGTTGTGCTTAGAAGGGGCTTCACATCTTGCGCGGAAAGGACAGAGTTGCCCCTTCAGCGGGGTTGCCCATAGCGTCTTGGTAAGGGCAATGCTCAAAGACACCAGCCCCCCCCCCAAAAAAAAAAAAAACTACAGATTATTACAACCCTTGGCACCAAACACAGGGAACCAAACACCAGCCCCAAATGAGCTGCCCTTCGTGGATAAATTCTGCCTCCGCTTCCAAACAGATTCTCGCAAACCTTTGCCGGTGGAGGAACTCGCCTGAGTTTCACCTCACATAAAATCATGTGGAAAACTGGGCTACGACAAACCCATCCGGGATACCCAGGGCAAAAAGGTGCAAATTGCATGGATCGTGCACCCCGGAAATGCCCTTGGGCCGAGCCTCCCTAAAAAGTTCTCGCGCGCGGGATGCCCGCAAGGAGCTTTTCTCAGGTGAAACCCTGGGTCTGTCTGTCTGACACTTTGGTCAAATGGCGAAGCCGAAGCGAGGGAAGCACCCGGAGAACAACAAACCGCTCCAGAGAGTACGACGGCAACCAGCGTCGGTCGATTTATTTTCACCGCACTGCCTCAAGTGGGTGGGATCGTACCTGTTGGTCGATCTGTTTCAATCTCTGGAGTCGGTGTGCGTGTCTCTCAGACACCACTGACTCGAAAGTAAAGTACAACAAATAAAAGGTAAGCAAATGCAAGTGCATGCAAACCCAAAATGTTGTACAGCAGAGTTTCGAAGAGGGAGTGGACGTTCTCCCGTCCTCTCACTCGATGCTATAAATGCAGACCGACAGGTACTGAGGGCATGCAGTGAAAACTGGTGAGGGTGGGTGGGAAAGAAAAATTTGGCTAATTCGCCAAAATGGCGAACGGAGCATGAATCAAGCAGTGTCATCCTGCAGGCACTCAAGGTTCGAATCTGAGTGTGATTCAAATGCCTTCCGCTATCGGTTGTTACTTTTAACACAAGTGTTAACCGCAACAACAAACCGCTCCAGAGAGTACGACGGCAACCAGCGTCGGTCGATTTATTTTCACCGCACTGCCTCAAGTGGGTGGGATCGTACCTGTTGGTCGATCTGTTTCAATCTCTGGAGTCGGTGTGCGTGTCTCTCAGACACCACTGACTCGAAAGTAAAGTACAACAAAATAAAAGGTAAGCAAATGCAAGTGCATGCAAACCCAAAATGTTGTACAGCAGAGTTTCGAAGAGGGAGTGGACGTTCTCCCGTCGTAGGTCAACTCCCGTCGAAGGTGAAGCCGAAGGCGAACGACCTAGACAAAAGGCACGTTGAAGGCATCCTTACATCGATCAAGTCTCCTTACTGTGGACAAGATTCTCACGGGACGTGGAAGTCAAGTCGGGTTCAGGAGGAATGATTCCTGTGGAACTGTTGGAGTTCCTTTATGTCGTCAAATCCGACGGCATGGGCGAACTCAATATCGCCAATGATTTTGCACGTCCGTTTATGTAGAGCGTGCATGGGGGGTTCCAGAATCTGCCAGTGGTGCTTCGAGGCAAGGGACATGTCATGTCGACTGAAGGGGTCGGCTATATTAGCATGTGTGGGCACACGGGCAATATGCAACTGCAATTGCTGTCGGTTGTGCCATGTCCAATGTGCACCGAGCAGGCAGTTTAGTGGTTGGTGTTTCCCAACTCCCCGTCTGATGGCGTGTTTGGCCGCTTCGTTGTCGCACAACTGGAGGTATGTGTCAGTGATCCATGGTCGAAAGATCACAGGAGCGATCAACGCGGCCCATGCCTCGAGGAAATAAATGGCGTTGGTGCCAGTACTCACTTGTTGGAGTAAGTTAGGGGGTAGTGCGCCCGAGACCACGCGGGTCCTTTGTGCCTGTGGGCTGAACAGCACCGCTGCCCATCCGTTGTCGTGCGACCAATCGGGTGGCAGACAATCCTGATCCCCTGCGTCCTTGACACGCCAGACCGTCTCGCCCTGCCGGCAGAACGCGTCGGTGTATATGATTGAGAGGTCTCTGGGCCTGGTGGACAGTGGGACGCTGCGGGGTGAGCTATGTTGCAGGATATTCAGGAGGCACAGAATGGCAGCTCGAGTTGGTTTGTCGATCCGGTCGGAAGTGCTGTGTGCTTTGTGGTATAGGGCGGCTAACGCCGATCGCCCTACTCGACCGAACAGGTGTCCGGTGACAAAGTTGCACTTGCCGGCAGTGCGTCGGGCGGTGTCGTTCGACATACCTCCCTGTTCGAGACACTGAGACAGGGTGTGTGACAGTGTACGGACTCGGTCTGGGCACGGTCGAAGGGTTGCGTGTGTTGCCGACAGGTCGACATAAACCCCTTGTATTTTGTGAGAGGGCGCCGGTGGTTGTTCCTTGGATGTCTTCATATGAAATCCAAGTAGTGAGTTGAGCTTGCTGAATGAGGAGAAGGAACTGGTCGCGATGTGACTGGGTTGTATGGCCCCGTAGTCGTCAACGTAGTGCAGGGCCGGTGTGAGTGTTAGTACGCGGGCGAGTGCTGTGAGTGCATCGCCGAAGCGGTTGTAGCCCCAGACGCTGGCAGCGGAGCCGAACAGGAGTACGTGGTGGTGCCAGAGAGTTGGGCCGTCGGGTGTGATGAGTAGCACGTATGCTACCTCCGGTTGTGCGAGGGGCAGTTGACGGTAGGCGCCGTCGTGGTCGTGTCCCCACACATGTAGCGGGTGTGTGTCGTCGTGATATTGTCGCGCACATTGGATGTAGTGGTCGGGTGTGTGATGGTATGGTTGATCGTGCATAGAGCACGTCTGGTTGTGGCCGCTGCGGCGCCAGTCTTCTCCTCTCCGGACTTTGGGTTTTCCGTCCGATCCGGTCTGTTGTATGCTGAATGCGACTGCCACAATGGGATCGCGATGTGGGATAGGAAGGAGCCGGCTGGTGTGGGGGAAAAGGTGCAGGGGTACTGTGCGAGAGGTCCAATGAGTCGGTGCCTCGAAGGGGCCGGCCATACGTCCCTGGGCCACTTCCCCCGCGATTTCGGTGGCCATAAGAGTCCAGTGGTCGTCGATCTTGTGTTGTTGTAATTTGCGCTGGATGTAGGCTTTGTTGAATGACCTGAGTTCTGCAAGGTCACATGGGTCCAGGTATTTGTGGTCGTGGCGAATGTGCCAATTGACTCCGGGTCGCAGAGGCCCCAGGAGGTCGAAGCCTAGAGAGAGTTCCTCGTGCAGGAGTTGTGCCTGTGGGTAGTTAAGCAAATGTAGCAAGTGTGTCATGAGTGGTACCTGAGTGATCATCTTCGGTTGTCGATAGGCTCGCTGGCAGTGTGGGGGCAGCTGTTCGAACCATGCAAGTGTATCCGTAGTCAGGTCATCGCGAAGGTCCGCGATGTCGCGTAACACGTTGTGCTGTAGTTGTGGCAGTTGTGGTATGGTCCTTTGCATTGCGATGGCCCACAAAATGGTCGGGTCGCAGTGCTGGGGCTGTTGCAGCGAGGTCGCGTGGTGTTTGGCCCAGGTCAAGTGGTCCTGCCAGTCGTTCTGTGGCATATGTAGCGTTTCTGATGCTCTCGGAGGTGGTCCCCATGGTCGTGGGTTGTGAAGCCAGAGGTCGACCATCATTCCGAGGGATCCGCGACGTACCCGCTGCGTGGGCGGGGGAATCCCGAAGGCTGGCTGTAGTAGCAAAAGGAATAGGATCCACATGGCTGTGGGCACATGCCAGGAGTTCCCCAGCATGGTGTTCCTGGTCCGGTCGGTGTTGTGTGGTCCCGTCCAGCCGCGCGGGAATCCCATCATTGCTTCGCGGTGCTCGGGTGTTGCGACTTGCCAGTCGTGTCCGTGTTTCCGGACCAGGTATTTCTGTTGGTATTGCCACGGGGCGAATTGTTTGTGGTCGGCTTGCCACCGTTGCCATGTGTCGTCTGGTAGTTGTTGGCTGCGT